CTTATTAGTACAAACAATAGGCATTTTCCACCAGTGTAATTATTGAAGTCCCTTTCCTCTCTACTGCTCACCCTCCAACCAACCTACTGGTCTACCCTCGTAGTTTACCAATAGTATTTCACTATTCAGCAAACCGGAATGATGTGAAATATCCACCCACACTTCTTCCAGCCATCAGTCAAAACTGATCTTATTTTAGATCTCATCAAGTACTTCAAGCACCTGACCAGTCACACAAAGCCTTCCCACATTAGCTTAAAGTTCATCACAGCAAAAGCCAATCAAAAACCAAATGCTGATAATGACCATCATCTAATCTACAGGTTTTTTTATTCTCCTATAAAACTGAGGAAACCAAACAGTACAAGGACTTCAAGCCCTGGTATCTTACCATTCCAGACAGAAAAGGCAAGTAAAACACAAAAATAGAAAACATTTTAACATACCAAAAAAAAAACAAAACAAAACAAAAAACCCCCAAACAACAAAATACCAGAAGACCAACAACAAAAAAACCCAGGAAGACCAGACACCCTCAGCTAAGAGATGATTAACAAAAGAAAAGATGGATTTTAGACAGAAGCCAGCACTTTTATTAGGCTTCAGCAAGTCTGATACCTCCAGTGACTTTCACTTGTTTATACAAGGTTTCACAGCAATCAAAGCCACCCCCTCAAAGCCTCAGCAGTACAAAATATGTTATCACTTTTTTAAAATCAGACAGGCTTCTATGCAGAGTGCTTAGATCATCCTCAAAGTTTTCTGTAAGGTATCTCACATTCATTCTGAATAAAAATCTCTTTAACAAGACTCAACGTTAATCACGAAGGCCCACTGAAGAATTTACATGTCTTTGGCTAGTCCAAGCAAAACAAACCAAAGCAACATGCCTTATCAATGATGCAAGACTGCACCTTTATTAAAAACTCATATCCAGACATACTAATGCATAAGCCCACACCTAAGTGCCTATGTGGATCTTGACTATATTCAAAGCTTTATTCTAACTTTTCAGGATTTGTTGAAAAATACATCATGTGCAAATTACAAGCAGTAATTAGCAGTCCTTCTCCCTTCAATTTTTTGTTTCCTCCCATTCAAGATAGTTGCATGGAAAGATTTAAAAAAACCCAAAACTAAAATAAACAAGTCCATCATAATCAATCATTTATTATTGCTACTGGAAAAAGAGATAACAAAGCTATTCCACAAGTCAGAATGGAGACTTGTGCTTCAAAAGAGCTACCCAACAGATTGAACCTCATAGGAGGGTATAGGGGAGGAAAAAAAAAAGGTGGCAACTGAAAGTTACTAAGCCACATCTTTAAGAAGAAATTTGCTACCCAAATCTTAAAGTAGCACAAAACAATTTTGTAGCTCTGTTTATCTACATGGATGCAGAATTGGAGATCCTTCAGCAAAAGCTTACCTTTGAGATAGCAGTAACTTCACCTTCAAGATGCAGACTGCTCACATACCCAGAACAGACAACAGAAACCACAGGGATTTACTGAAAAATGAACAACTATTCTATCACTACACCTGCATTTTAATTTCCTAATCTTAATCCACACACATTCAGGAACTTTAGTTAACATGCACTTACATAAAAAGCTTGATGTCTTCCTTTACAAAAGAATAAACAATGAGAATAGCAGTTCTTCTATTTCAACTACAAAAGAAGTAACATTAGTTGGCGACCAATGAAAATTCAATGCAAAACTAGGTAACCCTATTTTCTTATTAAAAAAAGCCCATCATATCCTATCTCCTTCAATATCAATATTCACTTTTGTTTTAAAAGGGTAATATAAAAAAGCTTTGCTCAGTTAAGGAAGAGCTTTGTTTACGAGGAACAAGCCAGTATCAACAGTGTTTTCTAAAAATACAGCAGTGTCAACCATCAGCGCTCATTCCACAAGTGCCAAAGTTTTAATAACAAAACCCCCCACATTTATTAGAAGAGTATTACAATCAACTAGTTTCAGTGATCAAAGAGTAAAACTTCATGAAAATGCAAACACTGTAATTTCCAGTTGTGGAGTGCTACATATTCCAGGTGTACAAACACAACATCTTTTTGTTTATGCACATTTAAAAGTTATTTCCAGTCTGCTTTATTTTCCATCAAATACAGTACATTTATCCAAACAAAAGAATGTACATTCAATATAAAACATCTTGAGCAACAGCTACAGTCCAGTTCCCATTCACAGTATTTTTAGTGCAATGCACTAACAGGGCCAAATATTTCTCTATCCATAAAAGCATTTTTACTCCTGATCTTGTGATCAACATTTTTAGATATATTTTATACAAAAAGTATATATGAACACAAGGCACCTCCCTAAGTAAGGGAGTGAACCAATATAAAAAACATGGTATTTCTTCTGATGTACAATACCTTTCAAATTGTAGCAATTTGACACAAATCACTAAACATTTTCTAAAAAGTAAAAAACAAAACAAAAAAACCCCCAAACCACTGACGCATGAAACCTGCCAAGAATTCCATAATGGTAGGCATGCGGCTGCTTTACTACAATCTTGATTAAAAGGTTAAAAAAAAGTATCTAAAACATTTTCCAAATTATGCAAAGTCAAGTGCTACCCATTAGTGGTCATTCATGATCTCGAGACAAAAAATATTCTGAGTTTCTCCAATACTATCCTCCCTTTTTATTAATATTTAATGAAATAAGCTAACATTATAAGTGGTTGTGCACAGATTGTCTGTCTATAACACATCAGCAAATATTCACTACCTTCATATTAACACTAGTGTGTTGATCTTTTTAAAAGTAAACTGAAAAAATAAACTGCAACTATCATTAAAGTGCTTGTGTATCTTTTTTTTTTTTTTAAGTAAAGAATAGAGGAATGTGGATAATCTTGTAAACTTCCCAGACGTTTACAAAGTTTTCCTATGAACCACATATGGAAACAAAATGGAGGTGTTTGCAGCAACTTCAGTACAGTGAAATTCACAATGTCCCAGAACCGGGAAATTAATCAATATGAACAAATGGATGTTATGGCAAATACTAAAAATTAGTACAATTCAGCCAATATACACTACGTTGTTTGCTCTTATACATTCATTTGTAATAAATTTAAAACAGTATATAACACAACATTTGCCAAAATAGGATATCACAAAAAAGCTAGAGTTGTTCAATCAGCAATACCAGGGAGGACCAGTATGTACGATGAGCTCTCTGAAGGTGATTTCCTAAACGAGGAACAAAACTCTTCTTCCAAAGCTGATGTTCATTAACTTGCCTCTGTACTTTTTTCATTTCAGAAAGTTTGCTCTATACTGTGTCAAACCACAACTGCATTGAGATAACTGCTAATTTAAAAGCACAAGTACATTTCAACTACTTCAGTGTTTGGGAGGAGGCACTGTCCTACAAGCAGTCAGAATGGTATTAATTCAGTAAGAAAACAACAGCTTGTGAAAATATTTCCTCCTTATAGTACCGTTATCAGGATATTAGCAGTTCCAACAAAAAACTAAAGTCTTTTTCATTCAAATGGATGTCACACTTTCTGAACATCACCTGAACCTATCTGAGGAGAAATGGGAATAAATTGATACTTTGAGTTTACTGCTAGAATTCTGTCTTAAATTACATGACATAAATAATTTATAAGGTTAAGCTTTTAATTCATGATCAAAATGCAGAAGCCTCTCCTCGTCTCAAAGTCAGCGTAATTCAGGGTCCAGATGAGCATATTTCTGAAGTTCTGTCCCACTTAGCCAGGATTTGTTACAAAGTCACGAAAGCACTAGATTACAATGCAACATAGCTGGGTGGCAAGTCACTATAAAAGCTGAACTCAAATCAAATTACCTCCTGGGAAGTAGTATTTCAGAGTTGAAATATAGGACAAGGCACATACACTTGGCTTTCCTTTCACCAAATATGCTAGACAGGTAGTTCTGAATAAGGATGTTAAAAAACTCTTACAGATATCTTTACTGTCTCTCTTCACTATAATTTTTTGTACAATCCCCCAACTTTCAGGCATCAGTCGGTCACACTGAAATACAAACTGACCGCATACATATCTTATTTCCTTTTTTTTAAGAGGTCCTTTTAGGAATATGCCACCTTTAACATCAAGGCTATGGAAAACTGAGAAACTACGAATACAACCCCTTCCAAGTGCCAAAAAAGTTCCCAGAGTACCATATAAGAAGTTTAGAAAATTCTTGGCCAGACTTCTACATGTATATAGGCTTAAAACAAAAGCTCTTGATAAGACTTGAACACTTTAAAAAATAAACGACCAGAAGTTTCCAAACCCGTGCTTATATAAATAAGCATTAAAAGAATCAAATTCTAAATTTGATGATTTCAAATGTGTTCATAGGCACCTAACTCATATTGATCTTGCATCAAAGCAATTAAGCATCTGAATTACATTCCAAAAACCTCTTCCATGTCTTTTTGTTGACAGGGTGTAGGCAATATACATTAAAATAAAAATAAAAATAAAAAAAAAAAAAACCACAAAAACGAACAAACAAAAAAAAAAAGCACAAATGACAATTCCAACAAATACACAGAGATTTTTTCTGTCAACAGCTTTTACTGTAGTACCTTCTTTAGTACTTCTTCAACTGGGTCACAGAGAAGTTAACTAACAGGTGAAGTTATTCCAACCAAACAAAAGTAATGTTAATTTAAAAAATTTACTATTTTCGACATATACATATATTAGCTTGATTACAATAGATGCCTTAAGACAATTTAAAGAGTTGACTCAGTACAATTTAATCTATATTCTATTCCAACTTCCTACAATGACAAATTTAAAATTAACTCTTTTCCAAAACACTAAAAACAAGTAAGAAATAAATTTGACATCTACCTTAGTATTTAAGCCACTAAACCATAAAATGTTTCCGGCAATAAATCAACAACAGCAAAAGAAAGGCAGTAGTTTTGTTTTCTTTTAAAGAAAAATAATAAACAAGAGACTTTTTTTCCTCACCAGACAACAGCTTTAGATCTTGTACTTCTGCCTTTGGTTTTATTTTCTTCAGGTGAGTGAGATACATTTGCTTTGTGAGTTTTCTTATGGTGCTCTAAAAAAGCTTTTCTGGCAAATGCTTTCCCACATTTATTGCATCGGTGCAGAGAAAAGTTTTTTGTTACTTTTACTTCAATGCCAACATCAGCTCCTTCATACTTTTTATTGGGAGAGTTAGAGGTGACATCCTGTTTTGAACCAATCTGTTTTGTTTCATCCCTCTGAGGGCCTCTTTTTGTCACCTTATTTAGAACAAGATCAATTGGCTTTTTTATTGCTCTGATTTCTAAACTTGCAGTTATTTTCCCAAGGTAGCGTGGTGACTTTTTATGAACTACAGTTATGTGCCTTATCACATCACGCTTGCGACGTGTTTCATAAGAGCAGAGTGGACACCTGTAGTATTTAACATAAATGTTATTTCCATCTGTATGTAATTCAATGTGTTTTGTCAAGTTCTGTTTAGAAGTAAATTGGCGTTTACAGAGTTTACAGTAAAGCTGCTTGAAGTCAAAGCCAGCTGAAAGTTTTGGCTTCCTGTTTTTTTGCTGGCCACCTGCAGCAGATGCATTGGTTGACTTAGAGGTTGATTTAGAAGTTGATTTACAGGTTGATTTAGTGGTTGATTTGGAAGTTGATTTAGGGTTTTCAAGGTCCTGTTTAACTTTACTTTTCTGTGCTGACGGTGTGCTTTTTTTCTCATTTGAATGATTTGTTCCCTTTAATTCATTCTGTGGAGAAAGGGCAATGGAAGGGGGTGAAGGTTCTACAGAATCTGCTGGTTCAACTTTTACTTTTATTTCTGTGCCATTGGCGGTATTGTTGGGTCCTTTCTCTCTTTTAGAGTTCTTTCCAGAAAGAGTTATCTTGTGAACAATTTGCATGTGCCTTTTCAGCATTATTTGTGAACTATATTTTCTCTTGCACAGAAGGCATTTGCATGCAGTTAAGTTGTATTCAGCCTTTGAAGACGACTTTTGTTTTCGGGTCTTAAAAGATTTTTTAGCAGAAACTGTATCCAGGAACAAAGGTTGCCCAGGCTTTGTAGCAATATCAGGAGTAATGGAATCCCTTCTTAATCCTCTATGAACTTCATCAAAATGCCTCCTTACGTTGGCTTTTGTAGCAAAAGATTTATAACATACAGGACAACTTCTACCTAATGTTACAAGGACATTCTTGTTTCGTCCTTTCACAGAAGACTGATTTGGTTTCTTTTTTGTTTCTATGTACTTCTTTAGCTCTTCCATCTTCTTTTTGTGCACTTTTCGAATGTGCCGGCGTACACTCCGTCTGGAATGAAATTCTTTCCTACAAAGGCAACATATCAACTGGTGGCCAAAATCACAATTATCCAGAGAGTCCACCTCAGGATTTACTGCTGGAGGCTGTTCTTCAGGAGTAGGTATCACCTTGTTCGTAACGGGATCAGCAGGAGGTAATTCTACAGTCTCTCCAGCTGGAGTTGGGGCTGGAGCTGAAACAGTCTTGGGTTGCTCAATGCTGGGTTCCTGTATCTGTACTGGAGCTTGATCAGGGGTACTATTGCTTTCTACGTTCTCATCTGGGCTATCAGTCCTTGATACATATTGAAATACAGCATTCTGATTAGTTTCTATAGGTTCCAATTTAACTATATATTCTTGCTTATCTACCCTTGGATAGATTGCTTCCAGAAGATCATTTATGGCTTGACTCTGTTTATCATTTATATCTGGGAAGTCTGTGAAAAGAGGCGAAAATATTTTTTAATGATTTGGTAATTTCAAATTATTTCAATTTCAAAGTATCTTTTAACCACTATGTCAATTCAGTCACCAAATTTCTACAAAAATCCTGTACTTCTACTATTTTTCTGACCATTTACACTTAAAGACTTTGAGTAATCATTGCTATGGCATCAGTACAAGTTACTTCTTTATTAAAAGCCAATATTGGAAGTACACTCTTCTAGCATGCAGATGTGAAAGCCACCTAAACTAAAAATTAGCTTGCCTGGGTTAAACTGATCTTTAAAAATCTGTATCAACTGCAAAAATGTCAATGACTAAAAAATGACTGAGCTTGTTCTACAGGTATGCAATCAAGCCTGAAGTATTATTAGAAACTGATTTTCCACTGCTGGATATAGGCATCCTCAATAAAGGAACCTAATTCTGAAAATAAGCTCTTCTCTGTAAATTCTGAACAGTCCTTAAGAAACAATGAAATGTCTGTGTAACCTAAGCACTGCACAAAGATATCAGTAGATAAGAGGGAACTTAACTTCTGGGGCAGGGAAAGCTTTTAGTAATACCGAAGCAGTTAATAGGCTCGGTCATACAGTAAGATAGTAAATGCTAAGGGCAGAAAAATCCTGCATTATTCAGGGAGAAGAAAAGAAGTTTACTAATTTCTCAAAACAATAAAAACTGAGCCAAAGAAGCTATTCTAAGAAAGAGTTACTTCACTGAGATTCACCAAAGGTTCATCCTGTGTTCTGCCCTGATAATGAGTTGGAACAGACTTAAATCAAGAAGGGATTCTCCTTTCCTTTTTTGTCTGATGCCAGTAAACTTCCCAAGCTGAAGTCTGCTTTTGAAGTACTGATTTAATATACCTAGTTTCCAAAACGTTTTTGGTTTTGTTTGTTTTTTTTATGCTTTTGAAGCATTTGTATTCTTGGCTTCCACAATGTTAAGCAGTACATTTTATTTTGTTTTACCAGAAATACTGACAATTTTACTGTCTGGTAATTTTGCTGGATACCCCAAGTTTTTGTATTATGAAAACCAAGAAAAACAAAGGATTACTAACATTTTTACCTTCATGTCACTTATTATTTTACAGGCCTGAATAATACCCTGCTTTTAAATGCCAAATTAGTTAGCGATCTAGTTCCCAGCATGATACAGTAAGCATCTGCACTGACATAACTACGAAGTCAAGGTGCTACAGCAAAATCGTGAGGCACCAAGATGATACAGTTCAGAGTTTTCCATGATGATTTGAAGACGTGATTCCTGGTAACAACTAATTAAAAACCCACACTTAGTCAGGGTTGTTCCTTTCACACTGCCAGCAATACATGAAGGGAAAAAAAAAAAGTGTCAGTACAAGAAATATGCTGGTTTTGTTACTCAGAACCCATCTTTTAACACTGAATTTTTAACACCATTTGCAGTCAGTTTCAGATGGAACTATTTATATAATTTTTATCAAGGGTAAAAAGTCCTTCATTTAGGTCCCTTCAGACCATTTAATGACTACACTAACAGAATACAGCTCAAAAAAAATCAGCAGAGCATAGCCAGGATTTTCACCATGAGGATGCTGAACTTTCAGTCCCAGCTCTTGTTCCCTACCTTTTATTTATTGAAAAAAAATCAAAAACCCCTTACACTTTATTCAATAACCATCATTCTCAATTTTAAGTAAAACAAATATTTATATAGTTTTCTTCAGAGCATGTAGTATTATTCTCTTCATTTGCATCCCTTGTAGTGAGCAGTGAAATATGAAAGCTAACCAGTAAATTAAATGAAGGCTAGGACGTCAGGAGCTGAATGAGAAGTCTTTACTCAGGGTACTTTTATTTTGCTTAGGAACTTTTGCATCTAAGTCAGATGCACTTCTAACCTCGCTCTGAAAATACAACTCACCCCTTTTCACAGGGAAGCTCTGTGACTGCAACTGGCCAAGCACACTCATTTAAGGAAGACGACAATATTAGTCTTCTCACCTTCTCCTTCACAACACTAGCTGATACAATGTGGAAAAGAATTATCTATGTACATCTTTGTTCAATGCTAATTTTGGAAATATTGAGGCAGGACTGCATT